TACAAATATGGAAAGAAATGTTTCCTAAAGTTGTTGTCTATGATTTTTCTCCGGAAAAATATCCTATATTTATTGGAATCACTCAACAATGTTCTATTGAAGATGATCGTACGACGCGAACCGAATTTGTTTTTGAATCGTTACTCGAATGCTTCCAGTTGAAACATACTCAGGAGAAACTTACATCTGAAACATTATATGAAAAGTTAAAAGACTTCAAGAAACGATGTGATCGAAACGAAAATAAACTGGTAAGTCTTGTTTAATAGTAGAATCCTTGCCATCTAATTCAACAATCAGGGTGTGAGCGGGTGAAGGAAAGGGATTTCCTTCTGCCCATTATGTTCGATGGGCAATAAAATGGACAAAAATCACTCTTTCAGAAATGGGTAGAGCGCATTGAACGGTTCCTACTAAAATGACAATCATACATGAGCCAGAATTATGTTCGTTGTTATAAATAAAATTTTATAGTAGTGTTCATCATTATGACTACATATTTCTGTGCTCATCGATATCGTCTCTCGCAAATTTCTTTTTAATGCAATTTGATTGGGAAGTGCGCATCTTCAAAAACAACAGAAGCTTCATCATAAATAGTAGATGCAATTGTCTTTTTGTTATAACATATCATTTGTTTTCGAAAATTAATATATTGTGCTATGTATCACTTTTGAAGGAAAACTACTGACACGAGAAAGTAGTCTAAATTGTTCATTCAATTAGAACTTTAATGAAAAGACGAGTCCTTTCACTTTCGAAAGAAAACAAACGTAAGAATATTGGATTCTAAATTTTTCAAAAAACTATTCCGATCGCTACTTCAGTTTAATCATCGTATATCATTTATATTCTTTAACCCTGTCGATCTCCGCATGTCATCTACGAGATGACATACAGAACAGCAAAGCTATATTTTGCGTTCTATTATCTTCTTAAATAACGAATAGTATATGATATGTTCAAAGGAAAATCATTTCGCATGGCTATCAATAATGAATCTAGATTTCGAACACATGATTAACATCGCTAAACGCAAGAAAACGACGATATTGAAAGGGTTAATTTTATTTATGCATATGTCTCTTTATCTCCCATAGAAGGACAATGCAGAACCTAATTTAGTTATTAATAATGACGTCATCGATATCAGTTCAAGTAAGTTGTCTTTATTTTAATAGTAAAAGAAAAATTATGTTGTGCTTGGTACGTTGTTTAAAGCTTCGATCGAGTCCAACATGAAAGTTAATGACAATGCAATTCAATCGTTTGCTGAATTTTTTACACTACAATGTTTCACTTCCACGGCGTTTGTCATGGGTTCTCTGGAAGATGTTTGCACAAAAGCTTTCAGTTCTGAACAAGTCGAAAAGGTTCGTTCACATCATTCTCATCATGATGTATTTATATATAGATCAATCTGATTTCAGCGTTGTCCAATACTCGTTTACATACATGCTGATCAAAGCCAATTTGGTGTTACTACCTTATCAACTATATTTCTTTCTAAAGCTATCATGAACTATCTACGCGAAAATTATATTGTTGTCCCATACGATGTTACACAAGAATCAGATCTAAATAAGTAAACAATGCAGAAATGAACAATTTTCATCACTTGTTTTTTTAATGTTATTATAACATACTGTAAACCTATCTATACATCGATTAGATTTAAAACAGAGAATGATATATTATTGCTTTATTATATTCGTTTTATGAATAATATTATGACCGTATTCAAAGTAAAATTTCGATAAAAAATTGATATAAGAGTCTAAAAAAATAATGGTTGGCTTTTCAATATTTTCTCTCGTTGTTACTCTTGTTCCTTCTCCAGACGATGAGACTGTGTTATGTATAAAACTGTAACAGGTGAGATAATGAGTGATTATTTTCATTTCAGGTTGACACAGAACTGGAAACAAATGTTTCCAAACAATGCTCCGTATGATTTCTCTATAGAAAAATGTCCAAAACCTATTGCAATCATGCGACGACTGGTTGTAGCAGAAGATCTTTCGTTGAAGGTCGAATTTCATAGCGAATTGTTGCTTGAATATTCTCAATCGATATGTACTCAAAAATGCGTAACTTCTAAAACAATACTTCACAAATTAACAGAATTTAAAGCTAAATGTAAGCAGAGCGAAAATGAAATTGTAAGTATTATTTGATACTGAGCACTTTTTAGTTCGAAAAATCATTTATATCACATTGTGCATTCTATTTCAGGCAATCGATTTTATTGCACAGACTAGTCTTTGTGAAGATGTGGTTTTTGAAATTACAAAATATCTAACATTAAACGAAACTGTCAATGCATTTTCTTTAAAAATATTACCTTTACTACGAGACTATCATGCGCGGATACATCTTTCTGAAATAGATAATGATTTTGTCACCATGATACTTCGAGAATTTAATCAAACAGAAATACACTCTCTCAAACTCGATGCAATTCATATGCAGTCAAATGTTAAGTCAGCCTCTTCGATTGTCCTAAGTCAAGTTATGTCTCTTACACTTTTCAACATCCAATTCAGTCGTGATCTTCGCGAATCTATTCCACATTTTCCTAATATCACTTCACTTCGGCTTTACTTTAACAAGGGAGCTTACTTGGAAGGTTTGAATAGTATTCTTAATCATTTAGATCATAAAATCAAGCGATTAGAAATTCATTATGGTACATTAAGTTCGCATGGGCGCGATTTCTGGAATTCAAGAGAAGAAAACAAGTCAAAGGAAACCATTGAATACTTCCTTTTCGATACCAACCATTTTTCATTGGCTGCGGCAGACAAATATTATGAGCATTATATACCATATTCGTCGATAATAGTATTCGAGCTCATGGAAACCATGCGAAGTATTCGCACTGCTCGTCTCCTTCTCAATCAATATGACTATAAAAGAATACTAGAAGAACATAGTTGGAAACGTGTGATGGAAAAATGTGATAGGTTGACTAATGTCACGATTCAAGTAATCGGAATGGTTGTTCGCGACGAACAATCAGAACAAAAAGCACTTCGTATTCAGCATGAATTGCGTAAAATCCGGCAGACAATAAGATTTCGTTTTATTTGCATGTAGTGTTGCGTACGTGAGTTTACTTCATTCTAGATACCCGCTTTTAAAAATTGCCCATCACTTTTCATTGATCGTTTTGTGATTGAATATTGTTCTGAAGATTGTATTTCATTAAGCCAAAATAAACTTCGACGTTTCTCTTTCAAAGCAGACGTTGCTCATAACCAATAAATATGATGATCCATTAAGTAAAACATAGTTAATCATATGGCAGCAATTCATAAATATTTTATAGATGGATTATGGTCGTTCTGCAATCACAGAACACATATTGGAAGAGATAAATTGTTTCAATTAGAATTATACATATTAAAAGACATTTTGAATCCATAATTGTATCAACGAATATATATTCGATAGCTTATAACAAATCTCATCAACATTTGAAATTTAGAACTCAAATTTTTTATCGAACTTCATTATACTAATATAAATTATTCAATGTGTACAATTTCTAAAAGGCAATACTTCAATTTCCAACAAAACATTCATATATATATATATATCTAGTCTTTCGACTAACATGAGTCTTTCACAATGAACGAGTTTAAATGCGCGTAAGAAGATTTTTCTTTTATGCTTTGATATCAATTCTATAAACTCACTCTCACCCTCAAAATATCCAGTTTTGTTCCAGAATGTTAGCTTGCTCGAAGAAACAATGACGTAGTGAGATCTTGATCATTTAAAAGTTTCCACTCTAAAGGATGAAGAAGCGAGAAGAGAGAACTCATCTTCGTGTTTACGCCTATGCTACGCTATGCATACTAGAAGAGCGGCTATATTTATGTTGATCCTCGACTTTTCCAAACAGTGACACAAGCATATTCTGAATTTAACCAAGATAACTAGGGTGTGGGTGTAAGTATAAAAGTCTTCCTCGTACCCGCACCCATACCCTCATCATTTTAATGTGTTTTTGGCAACTAATCAAACATTTTTAATGATTTAAATAGTTTTGACGAAAGCATCTGATAGCAATTAGTAAACATTTCGTGTAAACGATGAATTGTCAATTATACAGGGTCGTCCAAAAGTCTCTACCCAAAGGTATTTTTTTGACTAGCTTGTGACTATTGGTTCAACTTTATCAAATGACGTTTTTTGTATGATCGATGGAACCATCAAGGTTTTTTATTATGGACAAGCTATAAATATGCTCTTTGGATTAGTTACTTTTAGCTGAGAAACAAAAACTTAACATTGTTTCTGGTTCCATCATAACATTTTACAGGGTTTCTTTTTTCATTTCCTGAATTTTGAATTAATACTATTTAAATCGTTTTTATGAAGACACATTAAAACTAATGTCTATAGAACAACTGTTCGAGATTTGAACAATTTAAAGATCAGAATAATTCCAGGAATCGAAATAATTAAAAGAGAAGGGTGTAGGTGTCTGCGGGTGTGATTATTCATTATCGAGTCATCTACCCGCAGACACTCACACCCACACTCTTCAATGCGAATTCGAATTGACACTAGGCACCTATGTTAGTTTAGGAAAATAGGAAAAGGAAAATTTCCTCACCAATTTGAGAGCAAGTGAGGATGAGCGTTAGAGGCGAAAGTGAGTATCTTTCCGTCACCCTCATCACTCATCTACACCTCACACCCCACCCACACCCTCACCCACCACATCCACACCCATACCTACATCCTGGAGACTAGCTCACTACTTTTAATTATCTTAGGTAAAAGATAAAAATGAAATCATCATTTTGCACAAGATCTCGATATAGTGTGGGCACCCACATCTTTCTAGAGATCTTGATTAGTTTTCCGTCGGATTCGATGCACACTATTTCATGTTTTATAATTTTTAATCTTTATTCAATTGTTTTCTTTTTTCTTGTTAGTAAGATTAGATTCAAATAATAAGAAGAAAAGTATGTGTCTCTGAATTAAATAAGTTTTAAGGAATTAAGAATGATACTACCAACATGTGATGATATAGGTGCATGTGAATTATTTCGATTTTCAATTATTTGTTTGATAAATGTTAGTAAATTGTTATGAAAACAAACTTGACGAATTTGCAAATATTGACGATGTTCAGGGTTACTAACAAAATCATCAGGGGCAATCCAACCATTTTCAAATGCTTCTTCTTCTTTCATAGTTCGAGGTTTCGGACATAAGCTTAAACATTGACAATAAGCGGTCTGCTCATCAGTTGTTTCAAAATAAAGTGTACCATTAAAAATAAATAATTGAACCAACCATTCGAGAGGTATTAAGAAAGGAATGGCACCATTTGGATGTTCAATTGATGGAGGAATAGTGAGTGTTGGTGTATTCAGAATAATTGATTGAATTCGTTTAATACGTGGTACTAAAAGATGTAATGTTGTGATCGATGGTTGTTCGAATCTTTGTTTGTGATAAAAAGAATTTAAGCAGCCGATCAAATAGTTAGCTTCTAAAGCACTCAGAAAAATTAATTGTTCGTTACGATAAATAATAATCCACCTTGGAGGACGTAAAAATGGATTTAATGATTCTCCTTTAGTCGCAATTACACGCTGAAATTCGGTTGAAATCCAAAAATTTTTTCGCCAATTATTAGGTTGACAGTCGTTGACAAATGTTGTATCCATGAAAGCATATGGTAAAGGACGAAATATATTCGGAAAATCTGCTAAATTCATCATAGTGTCATGTATATCCCACAATTGCTTAATTTCCTCGTGTAGAATAGGTTCACATGGCTTGACAGGTGGTGGACGTTCTAATTGACGTTCCTCTTCTAATTCTTGTTCTAATTCTCTTTGTTGTTCTTCATCTAATAGTTGTGATAAACGTTGTTTTGTTCCACCATAATCATATAATCGCTTTAATACTGCATCTCTAATTTCTTTCACTATATCATGATAAGTTTG